CTCCATCTCGCTTCATTTTTTCCTATGATACGCTGTCTTATTTCTCAAATTCCTCATATCAGTGAGATCATATGATAACTGTTTTTCTCTGATTGACTTATTTCACTCAACTTAATGCCCTCTAGTTCCATCCACATTGCTGTAAATGGTAAGATTTCATTTTTGGGGGCTGCATAATATTCCATATACCACATCTTCTTTATCCATTCATCTGTTGATGGACATCTAGGATCTTTCCATAGTTTGGTTATTGTGGACACTGCGACTATAAACATTGGGGTACACATGCCCCTTTGGATCTCTACATTTGCATCTTTGGGTTAAATATCCAGTAGTGGAATTGCTGGGTGGTAGGGTAGCTCTATTTTCAACTTTTAAAAAAAGATTTTATTTATTTATTTGAGAGAGAGAGAGAGAGATCACAAGTAGGCAGAGAGGCAGGCAGAAAGAGAGGGGGAACCAGGCTCCCTGCTGAGGAGAGAGCCTGATGTGGGGCTCAATCCCAGGACCCTGAGATTATGACCTGAGCCAAAGGCAGAGGCTTAACCCACGGAGCCACCCAGGCGCCCCTATTTTCTACTTTTTGAGGAACCTCCATACTGTTTTCCAGAGTGGCTGCACCATCTTGCATTCCCACCAACAGTGTAGGAGGGTTCCTCTTTTTCCGCATCCTTGTCAACATCTGTCTTTTCCTGACGTGTTAATTTTAGCCATTCTGACTGGTGTGAGGTGGTATCTCATTGAAGTTTTGATTTGTATTTCCCTGAGGCTGAGTGATGTTGAGCACTTTACCATGTCTGTTTGCTGTTTGGATGTCTTCTTTGTAGAAATGTCTGTTCATGTCTTCTGCCCATTTCTTGACTGGATTATTTTTTCTTTGGGTATTGAGTTTGACAAATTCTGTATAGATTTTGTATACTAGCCCTTTATCTGATATGTCATTTGCAAATATCTTCTCCCATTCTGTTGGTTGTCTTTTGGTTTTGTTGACTGTTTCCTTTGCTGTGCAAAAGCTTTTTATCTTAATGAAGTCCCAATAGTTCATTTCCCCCTTTCTTCCCTTGCCTTTGGGGATGTTTCTAGAAAGAAACTGTTGTGGCTAAGGTTGAAGAGGTTGCTACCTATGTTCTACTCAAGGATTTTGATATATTCCTGTCTGACATTTAGGTCTTTCATCCAATTTAAGTCTATTTTTTTGTGTGTGGTATAAGGAAATGGCCCAGTTTCATTTGCATGTGACTGTTCAATTTTCCCAACACCATTTGTGGAAGAGACTCTCTTTTTTTCATTGGACATTCTTTTTTTTTTTTTTTAAGATTTTTATTTATTTATTTATTTATTTGACAGAGATCACAAGTAGGCAGAGACAGGCAGAGAGAGTGGAGGAAGCAGGCTCCCTGCTGAGCAGAGAGCCCGATGCGGGGCTCGATCCCAGGACCCTGAGATCATGACCTGAGCCGAAGGCAGAGGCTTAACCCACTGAGCCACCCAGGCACCCCCTCATTGGACATTCTTTCCTGCTTTGTTGAAGATTAGTTGACCATAGAGTTGAGGGTCAATTTCTGGGCTTTCTATTCTTTCCACTGAACTATGTGTCTGTTTTTGTGCCAGTACCATACTGTCTTGGTAATTACAGCTTTGTAATAGAGCTTGAAGTCTGGAATTGTGATGCTACCAGCTTTGGTGTTCTTTTCAATATTCCTTTACTTATTCAGGATCTTTTCTGGTTCCATGCAAATTTAGGGATTTTTCCATTTCTTTGAAAAAAGTTGATGGTATTTTGATAGGAATTGCATTAAATGTGTAGATTGCTCTAGATAGCATAGACATTTTCACAATATTTGTTCTTCCAGTCTATGATTTTTCCATTTCTTTGTGTCTTCCTGAATTTCTTTCATGACTATTCTATGGTTTTCTGAGTACAGATTCTTTGTTTCTTTGGTCAGATTTACTCCTAGGTATATCTTATGGTTTTGAGTGCAATTGTAAATGGAATTGACTACTTAATTGCTCTTTCTTTTATCTTGTTGTTGGAATAGAAATGCAACTGATTTCTATGAATTGATTTTATATCCTCACACTTTACCGAATTCCTATAAGAGTTCTAGCAGTTTTGGGATGGAGTCTCTTGGGTTTTCCACATAAAGTATCATATCATGTGCAAAAAGTGAGAGTTTGACTTCTTTGCTGATTCAGATGCCTTTTATTTCTTTTTGTTTTCTGATTACTGAGGCTAGGACCTCTAGTACTATGTTGAATAGTAGTGGTGATAGTGGACATCCTTGCCATGTTCCTGACCTTGGGGGAAAAGCTCTCAGTTCTTCCCCATTGAGAATGATATTTGCTGTGGGTTTTTCATAGATGGCTTTTATGATATTGAGGTATGTACCCTGTATCCCTTCACTGTGAAAATTTTAATCAAGAAAGGATGCTGTACTTTGTCAAATGCTTTTTCTGCGTCAATTGAGAGTATCATGTGGTTCTCGTTCTTTCTTTTATTAATGTATTGTATCACATTGATTGATTTGCTGATGTTGAATCAATCTTGCAGCCCAGGAATAAATCCCACTTTGTCGTGGTGAATAATCCTTCTAATGTACCGTTGGATCCTATTGGCTATTATTTTGGTGAGAATTTTTGCATCCATGTTCATCAGGGATATTGGTCTGTAATTCTCCTTTTTGATGTGGTCTTTGTCTGATTTGGGGATCAAGGTGATGCTGGCCTCATAAAATGAGTTTGGAAGTTTTCCTTCCATTTCTATTTTTTGGGAACAGTTTCAGGAGAATAGGTATTAGTTCTTCAAATGTTTTGTAGAATTTCCCTGGAAAGCCATCTGGTTCTGGGCTCTTGTTTATTGGGAGATTTTTGATAACTGCTTCAATTTCCTTACTGGTTATTGGCCTGTCCAGGTTTTCTATTTCTTCTTGGCTCAGTTTTGGTAGTTTATAAATCTCTAGGAATGCATCCATTTCTTCCAGATTGTCTAATTTACTGGCATGTAGTTGCTCATAATATATTCTTATAATTGCTTGTATTTCTTTGGTGTTGGTTGTGGTCTCTTCTCTTTCATTCATACTTCTATTTATTTGGATCCTTTCTCTTTTCTTTTTCATACATCTTGCCAGGAGTTTATCAATCTTATTAATTCTTTCAAAGAACCAGCTCCTAGTTTTGTTGATTTGTTCTACTGTTCTTTTGGTTTCTATTTCATTGATTTCTCATCCGATCTTTATTATTTCTCTTCTCCTTCTGGGTTTAGGCTTTATTTGCTGTTCCTTCTCTAGCTCCTTAGAAATAAGGTTAGGTTGTGTATTTGAGACCTTTCTTGTTTCTTGAGAAAGGCTTGTATCGCTATATACTTTTCTCTTAGGACTGCCTTTGCTGCATCTCAATGATTTTGAACAGTTGTGTTTTCATTTTCACTTGTTTCCATGAATTTTTAAAAATTCTTTAATTTCCTGGTTGACCCATTCATTCTTTAGTAGGATGCTCTTTAGCCTCCATGTATTTGAGTTCTTTACATGTTTCCTCTTGTGATTGAGTTCTAGTTTCAAAGCACTGTGGTCTGAATGTATGCAGGGAATGATTCCAGTCTTTTGGTACTGGTTGAGACCTGATTTGTGACCTAGGATGTGATCTATTCTGGAGAATGTTCCATGCATTCTAGAGAAGAATGTGTATTCTGTTGCTTTGGGATGGAATGTTCTGAATGTATCTATGAAGTCCATCTTGTCCAGTGTATCATTTAAGACCTTTATTTCCTTGTTGATCTTTTGCTTAGATGATATGTCCATTTCAGTGATGGGGGTGTTAAAGTTCCTTACTATTATTGTACTATTATTGATGTGTTTCTTTGATTTTGTTATTAATTGGCTTATATAATTGGCTGCTCCCAGGTTAGGGGTATATATTTAAAATTGTTAGATCTTCTTGTTGGATAGACCCTTTAAGAGTGATATAGTGTCCTTCCTCATCTCTTATCACAGTCTTTGGTTTAAAATCTAATTTACCTGATATAAGGATTGCCACTCCAGCTTTCTTTTGATGTCCATTAGCATGGTAAATCGTTTTCCACCCCCTCACTTTAAATCTGGAGGTGTCTTTGGGTCTAAAATGAGTTTCTTAGCATATTGTTGGGTCTTATTTTTTTTTTAATCCAATCTGATACCCTGTATCTTTTGATTGGGGGCATTTAGCCCATTTACATTAAGGGTAACTATTGAAAAATATGAATTTAGTGCCATTCTATTGCCTGTATGGTGATTGTTACTGATTATTGTTTCTGTTCCTTTCTGGTCTATGTTACTTTTAGGCTCTCTGTTTGCTTATAGGACCCCTTTCAATATTTCCTGTAGTGCTGATTTGGTGTTTGCAAATTCTTTTAGTTGTCCTGGAAGTTTGTCCTGGAAGCTTTTTATTTCTCCTTCTATTTTCAATGACAGCTGAGCTGTATATAATATTCTTGGTTGCATATTTTTCTCATTTAGTGCTCTGAATATATCATGCCAGTCCTTTCTGGCCTGTCAAGTCTCTGTGGGTAGATCTGCTGCCAAACTAATGTTTCTGCCATTGTAGGTTACAGACCTCTTGTCCTGAACTGCTTTCAGGATTTTCTTTTTGTTTTTGAGACTTGTAAGTTTTACTATTAAGATGTTGGGGTGTTGACATTTTATTGATTTTGGGGGGGTGTTCTCTGTGTTTCCTGGATTCCTGTTTCCATCCCGAAATTAGGGAAGTTCTCCACTATAATTTCTCCAATATACCTTCTGCCCCCCTCACTCTTTCTTCTTTTTCTGGGATCCCAATTATTCTAATATTGTTTCATCTTATGGTGTCATCTCTCTCTATTGAATACTCCCCTTGTGATCCAGTAGTTGTTTGTCTCTCTTTTTCTCAGCTTCTTTTTTCCCCATCATTTGGTCTTCTATATCACTAATTCCCTCTTCTGCCTCACTTATCCTAGCAGTTAGAGCCTCCATTTTTTATTGCACCTCATTAATAGCCTTTTTGATTTCAACTTGGTTAGATTTTCGTTCTTTTATTTCTCCAAAAAGGGATTCTCTACTATCTTCTCTGCCTTTTTCAAAGCCAGCTACTGTCTTTATAAATGTCATTCTGAATTCTAGTTCTGACATCTTACTAATGGCTGTATTGATTGGGTCCCTGGCAGTTGGTACTGCCTCTTGTTCTTTCTTTCTTTCTTTTTTTTTTTTTTTGAGGTGAGTTTTTCCATTTTGTCATTTTGCCCAGAGAATAGATGAATGAGGGAACAAAATGCTAAAAGGGTAAAAATGACCCCCAGAAAAATATACACTAAACAATTCAGAAGAGACCCAAAACTGGGGGGAAAAGAAAGGAAAAAAAAAAGAATACGATTAGGCTGGTGAATAGAACAGAGCCACACACTAGATTTTGAGTGTATTTTGGTCTGTTAGAGGAAACTGCCTCCCCCAATTTTAAAGAAAGTAAAACTTGTATACATACAAAAAATAAGGTTAAATACAATGAGGAGATAGAATTTGACTTCCAGAAAGCGGTCACTTTTCTCTTCTTAGAACTGCTGCTATTCTTTTCCTCAATCTCCTGTTGAGTTTGTAGGTGTTCAGAATGGTTTGATAACTATCTACCTGAATTCCTGGGACCAGATGAAATTTAGGTCTCCTACTTCTCCACCATCTTACTCCTCCCCGGAATTGCTTTTCTCTAAGTAGTACCAGCCAGCCTCAAGATCATACAGGAGCTCATTAGATTAACCATGAAAATATGAACAGGCTCATTTAGAGGAAGGGAATTTAGGGCTCATCTGTCATATGGGTGCTGGGTGGTCACGCATGTGGTTATGGAGCTTGGCCCTAGGGGACAGAGGACTCACGGACTGCCTCTTACTGGTGCCAGTGGCTGATGCAGGACCAACCTAGGGCAGAGGAGACTATTGCTTCAAAGTCAGAGACAGGAGAAAAGTCACGTAACAAGCATTTATTCAGACCCACTTTGATCAAGCAGACGTCCCATCCTGGAAATTAGTGCAAATAAGACATAGTCTTGGTGTCAGAGTTTCCATCTTGGGGCTAGGGCAACAGAATGGACACACTTGCTTTGCTGATACAGCATATAGACTCCAACCCCTTCTATCTGCATCTTATCTTCTATATTCCTTTAGAAGTCACACTATAACTATTCTCAGGTGCCACTGGGTCAACATTGACCCCATCCATGGCCCGAAGCTGGGCCATGGACGTGTCATGTGCCTGGGGATCTTTTTGGAGATTTTTGCTCTTGTGAATGAAGGAAATAGACTAGATTTATGCTGTGCTCTTTCTCTTGTGCTCAGGTGTGATAGCAGGAGATGTAGCAGCCATCCTGAGGTCTGCTGTCAAAAACAAGGCAAAGCTAAGCCTCCATAGTAGTGATGGTGGGAGGAAAGTGAGATGATTTGGGACTTCACAGGACTGTTGAGTACCTGGAGAACCACCATCTGACTTCAGACTTATTTCTGTGGGAGAAAAATAAGCATCTGAATGTTCATGCCTCTTGTTGAGATGTGCATGTATTGCATTACAATATTCCTGACCAGTTAGGATGACAATAAACATAAATGGTCAATTAATAATTAATAAAATAATTATAGAAGAATATGTGCAGTGTTGGGTGATGTGCAGAGAATGAAGTGAGATCAGACAAAATTACAAGCATGTCATGTGTGGGGAGAGCCTGGAGGAGGGCTTTCTTCAGAGGAGACTGTGGGGCTGCCTTCAGGATGAGAAGAAGGTACAAGACTAAAAAGTGTGTTCGGAGTCAGTCCCTGTGTAGAAGAGGCTGGTTTGTGTGAGGATTCGGGGACAGTGAGAACCTTAGCTGTCTGTGGTTCAAAGCTAGCTGAGTTCCAAGGTGACATTTTCTGAAGTTAAAAATTTGAGGGGCAGTTGTAACATGTTAGCATTTGTATGTTGTATGTTTCCAGGGAAGGTGAATCACAAGAGGAGCGCTATGTAAACCTCCCTGCAAACTGAGTGAAAAGCAGGAGCCCATTTGTAACTGACAGTCACTGTAGCTTCTCTGTGGCTCACCTGTGTATTGGTGTTCTGTATGACATCAAATTCCTGTCACATTCCTGTATATTGTATATTTATACCCATACACATATACAAGTATATTCATATGTGTGCACATACATACTAATTGTGTCTGCTGTATGTATGTGTTTGTAGTTACATTTGTGTCTGTGTGTGTATGTATACATATTTATGTGTATTTTCTAGAGATTTTGAACTCTGAATTGTGCGTCAAGTTGCTATTGATGGGGTCTTTGTGTTGTTAGGAGACATGTAATTTCATTTCATCAGAAATTATAAGCTGGGTGTTGTTACCCTAATGAATAGCAGGACCAAATTAGTCATCAGACCCTGTTGACTCTGGGCGTTGGTATCAGTTAATTATGGAGTTCCTACAAGTGAAATAGATGGGCAGCTTACCATTTTTTAAAAAGATTTTATTTATTTATTTGAGAGTGAGAGAGAGAGAGAGAGCATGAGAGAAGAGAGGTCAGCTGGAGAAGCAGACTCCCTGCCAAACAGGGAGCCTGATGTGGGACTCGATCCTGGCACTCCAGGATCATGACCTGAGCCGAAGGCAGTCGCTTAACCAACTGAGCCACTCAGGTGCCCAGCTTACTATTTTTAAAGCATATGTATAAATAGAAATATTTGCCTTTGGCAAACACTTTGACTTGCTACTGAACCTTAGCAGGGATTGTGTGCTCCTTATTAGCTACTAAATCACCATGTGACCAGACTGCCTGCAAGGACTGGGTGCCATCTGAGCAATGACAACGTGGAATTGGGCATTCATAGCAGCTGTCTATCATTAAACAGAGGAGAAAAATTTGAGATCAGGCTTCAACAAGTCCTAAAGGAACAGGTGAATTGCATGAGGAAGAGGCCAGATGTCTATAACCTCTAACCCCTGCTCCATTATCTTTTGTCTGTTGCACACAGCTATGGCCCAATGGGGATAATCCAATGACAAGCTGATATAGAGAAAAAAAATACAGGGCTGATTTACAGAGGTTCCTAATGATATGCAGGCAACTCTGACGGTTAATAATATTTCTACTGCAGCTGCATCTGGGACACCTCTGCATAATATGGGTGCAGGAGTATTTGAGCAGAGTAATTAGTTTTTTTTTTTTCACCTGGACAGAGAGAAAGACAGAAGTGGCTTTATTCTAACCTATGGGCTCTGACTCATAATTTGGCTGGGTGGTAAATTTTGGAAGGACATAATAAGAAAATTAGTGAGGACATTTGAAGAAGAGTTATGTGAGTAGAAATCCACAAATGAACATGAATGTGGATGCTATTTATGTTCCCTGAAAATTTCTACCATAATGTGTCCTCAAAAGGAAATGGTGTTAATAATCAGGTGGATAATGTGATGTGTCTGGGGACAATGGTCAGACTTCTTGTCTATCCAGTCTTGAACTTGTCCAGTGGGCTCCATAGCAAAGTGCCCATGTTGCAAGGTGGGTGGTTATTCATGGGCTAATCACTATGGATTTCCAGTCACTAAAGCTGACCTGGTTATGGCTGCTTGTGAGGACCAATTCACCAACAGCAGAGACCATCCCGAAGTTTCCATTCTGAGACCCTCCTTAGGGAATCATCCAGGAGCCTGGTGGCAGATTAATTACATTAGACCTCTTCTATCTTGGTAGGGATTGCTCTATTCTTGCTGCAGTGGACCTTTACTGAGATAAGGACTTTCTTCCTTTGACTATAATGCTTCCTCTCAAAGTATTACCCTTGGACTTTCAGGATACATCAATCCACTGTCTAGTGTTTCAGGGAGGCTTCTGTCCAAGGTACAGTTTACCCATATCCATGGGATTCATTGGCTTTACCATCTTCCCCACCATTCTGAAAAAGCTGGCTTGAATGAGTGGACTGATATCCTCTTGAAGACCCAGTTACTGTACCAGACATGGGATAACACCTTGTGGGGCAGAGACAACATTTTTCAAAAAGTGATATTTGCACTACATCTGTTTTCAATTTGTAGTGCTATTTCTCCCATACCCAGCATTCATGTGTCTAGGAATCTAGAGGTGGAGTTAACTCACTGATATTCCCAGTGACCTGATGCAAAATTATGACTGTCACCATGACCCTACACTCTGCTGACATAGAGGTCTTAGTTCTAAAGAAGAACTGCTTCTACCCAGAGACAGAGCAATGATTTTATTCAACTGACAGGTCAGACTTCTCCTTGTCACTTTGAGTTTCTTCCATATCCATTGATGTCTCTTTGTTGGTCCTCCCAGCCTGGTCTTCCATCCCCAAACAAACCATAGCCAAGAAAACATGACAGCTGCATCCTGTCTCCTGCACATGCACTGTGATCCACATGGTGCAGAGGCTGCCTGGAGGACTGGGTTGGGAGACAGATCCAGGAATCTCAGATGTGGGGCCCTCGGCCAGACCTATTCTTCTTTGTCCACAGTCATCCTAGGCTGAAGGAGATTGTGACACAGATGGGGCAGAAGTTTGTGCCTCATATCCCTGTTTGTTTTCTGTCACTGTGAGTATTAGTACCACTGTCCTACACCTGACAGTAGTAGTCAGCCTCATCCTTGGCCCTGATCACACTAGTGTTTAGGGTGACCATGTCTTCCAAGTTGTAGCTGGAGAACCAGTCAGGAATCCTTGAAGTAAGTTTGCTATTGTCATATATGACCAGCCAGCATCCTGTCCTGGCTTCTGCTGAAACCACTGCACACTGCACATTTCTATACTGTCTCTCAGACAGATGATAATGGCCATCTGTCCCAGGGTCACTGAGCACAGGGCAGCTGGGTCAACACTGGAGGCCTTTCAGGAGACTGGCCATGAGGCTGAGTTGGGCCCTCGCAGAGCTGCAGAGAACACCTGGTTCAGGGAAAGAGTTCTGTGGCCTCATCACTTATCCCTCCTGCTTCATGTCCCCTCTGTGTCCCCCAGCTGTACTC